CCATTTTAGATATTTTCACTATATATAGCTCTTCATTCTCACCCAAAAGGGGGATCGAAAATTCATTAGACAAACTCTTGTATTCTGAAACAGCTAAACCTCTCTTGAGATCTTTGCGTTGGGTGGCTTTCTATAAAACTTTACAAACCCTAAAAAGTTACTTGATCTTATTGTGAGATTCAACCCCCACAATTTGGAGCCATCTAAGGGGACAGTAAAGTTTCTTACACAACAAGCACCACCACGTTGAGATCGGAAGAGATGACCATCGACGGAAACAACAATCAGCAGCAAATCGGGGTAGAYGGATCAGCRGCAAAGGATCTAGAGATAAACGCGAACGTGCCCAAAGACATCGCCAATCCGCAAACAAAAGAGAACGCGCCCGCAGGAGACAACACCGCAGAGGACAAGACTACGGAAAACCCGTTGCAGCTCGCGGCGGAGATCGCGCAGATAAAGGGCATGTTCTCGGAGATCCTGAAGAGGACAACGGAGCAGGACAGCTTTAACAGCATAATGAAGAATCGGATGGATTCTTTAACCGCGGCAAGCCACGGGAAAAAATCGAGGTTTACACCCCACGCCGTGGACCGTATCGCTCCAACAGCGCTCAACTTATCTACACCTTCGGAGGCCCAGCGGCTTCGTCGGCATCGTCCGATCAACCTCAACACCGAACCGACTCCCGAAAGTGGTGGACGAGACATCAACAAGGGAAAATCTATAGCTGAAGGTTCGACTTCGGCGAAAGGCCCTATACTACCTGGCGGATCAGCTTCGGCTGGCAAATCAGCACCACAAGGTGGCTCGGCATCAGCTAGTAAGCCTGCACCCGCGGTCGATCTCGAAGGTGGAGGCGACGAGGATGACTCTGACGATCCCAATGAACCAGGACGAAGAACTGCGAGGCAAACCTATTACCCCGAAGACGAGCAGTACGCCTTCGAGCTCGCCGAGGAGGAAGAACGCCTCCGCTGGGAGAGACAACGGATTGCTGAAGAAGAGGAACACCTTCAGTGGGGTAGGCAGCGCACCGCTGAAGCACGAAGAGGATTGTTGCGGGTTCGGCAAGATGAACTGGAAGAGCTGCGTGCCTCCATGCGCCGAACAGACATAGATCTGAAGGAAATGCGCTMTCAGATGCACCGAGCAACCAGCTCGGCGCCAGAAATCGACCGAGTACTGGAGGAAGCACAACGCACACCATTCACAACCCGCA